GCTGACTTCTGCATGATCTCCATGGATAATATTACCAGCGCTCGCTCTCGATTTAAATATATTCGTCAAGGTGGGGTTTGAAGACAATGATTTTCAATTTCCAGTTTAAAATGAGTAAAACCTTGTAGATATATTGTAACATGACTGAAATTAACAAAAACACTCTGTTTGCAACCTGCAACAAATGAGGTCTAATTGACGAGAGGGAGGAGTGACAGATGGGAAAGGAAAGCATGTGATACTTTGGAGTGTTATTCATAGCAGTATTCACAATACAGCTATCGGCCAAAGAAAAGTTCCTGCGAGCGCGTATGCGTATTCGCCCATTGTAATATAAACCAACGTGAATTGAACCAAACCCGCCCCATCTTTTTCACATACACACACTTACGTATACTGAAATGTATATTCTTTTGGAGACATTTCTTTGTTCTCGTGCAGTAAAGTTTTCGAGTTTGTAAGTGAGGTTTCAAAATGCTCTTATTCAAACCAGAAATAATTTCCCTGGCTGAAATTCGGACTTAATATCCTTTTTGTTTTAACTCTTCCATTTGCAAGGTATCAACCCACTATGGAAATTCCTAGTTTTTGAGTAAAATCCATATTTCTATTTCGTGAAAATCTTGTGGAGACTTATTCATCTATAGATATTGCCCTTTGGAGACATATGCAATTTTGTGTTTCCTATTGTGTGCACATCTCCAGAAGGCACGGTGTATGTATCACTTTGCATACACACATATTTATCTGCAATCGAGGGCCCCTATTTTCCCCTTTTTTTGTGTACTTACTTTTTAGGAAGACCTCTTGTATGTTTTGAACACGATTCCAAATTGGTGACTTTCGATTGGGGACCCTATTGTCTTCCATTGTTCAACGTCACCTATTAACTGCAGAAACAAACTCACTAGCACACAAATGTTTTACTATACCCATGAGGACCTGGTCCTTTCCTTCGTATCTTTCTTTTTGTTTGTACTTTCTCCAAAGCTCCCATGAGGTTTGTACACGAAATTTTCCCGACGACTAGTGCTCAGGTCCACGGGCCCATTGAAACCGAACTCATCTCATTGTCGAAAGTCCTCAATTTGAATAGATAATAGATTGGAACTATTTTGGTTGTATCGCAGACACCTCATTGTCCAGAAGCCTCAGTTAGAATGGATAATAGATTGGAACTATGTTGGTGGAACTGGTACTAGTTCTGGTACTGGTACTGTATTTGTATTCATGTTTGTATACATACATGTTTTAGTGATTTTTGTAGGGGCCCTAATTTAAACGAGTTTTTAACTGTTTGGCCAGACCCAAGGTAATATTAATAATAATAATAGTACTAACAACGAGGAGGAGGCTGACGACGACGCCCCCACAAAGACAAAATATCTGAATTGCAATATGTGATATTTCGGCCCTCTCGATGCGTACCGTTTTCTATGGGTTCATTGTATACATGGTTTTGTAATTGTCAAGACGATGACGACGACGACGATGATATCCTAGCAACATTGCCTTGAAAAGGGTACATACCTATGTTCCCAATACCTTTGTTCCTTCGGCCCTTTCAATGCGTATCTTTTTTTCTCAGGGTTCTTTGTATTCAAGGTCTGTTATCATCTGCACCAACCAAGATTGCCGGTGCGGATTCCGTTATTATTACAGGAAACCGCTAGCATTCGAACGCAGCACCGTTTCATAACGATTCGTGACTGTTTATGACCACGATGGTCATTATTGCTCAATTTCAAGGCGATATGTTGTGTAGTGGCGTTTTGTACTCGGTATATACCAGCGAGTAACACTAACGAAGTCTTGATCATTACGTCAGTCGGGTTTGGTCTCAGTAAGGCGAGCCATCAGATAACAGACCGTTCGGGTACCGGGTCCGGTATGCTAATTTCTTTCACCCCAATCGGTACGAAGCCAGAAGCCACCCGTTCACTGAAGCGTGACGCCCCAATCGGTCCAAACTGGTGACTCAGGGTTTCACAATAGGCAACATAAATTGAAGTCTGGCCATTGTTGGAGGATTATTCGGCCCGCCTGGATTACCAGCGGCAACTTCTATGAATCTCATGACAGTCATTGTTGCCTACTGGAGGATAAGCGCGTCGCAAATTGGTTCCTTTGTGATGAGCCAGAGCCATGGTGCAGAAGCCTGGCGGAGTTAATCCAGGCCGATCGGTTCCATGCAAGGTCCCAATCCCTTCAACATACTGGGCGGGCTCAACCCCGAACGGTCCGGGGAGGGATTCTTATTTGAGGGCTCGCCTAAGACAGGGTCTTCATGCAGATCGTCGTTCAGTACTCTACATGCGTAACTACCTGTCTATACGGTCGCGTTAATTTGGTCACGGATCATCTGCACAATGATAAACGACTCTTCAGTAGCTTGTGTACACATTTTGTACGGAACAGGTTGTCTAGGAGGCGTGATAACGGCCTGAGGGCGTATAGCACATACAATGCGGGCGCGTACGCGATACTGGACGCGCGCCCTACATGAATCCCAATCATGGAAGACTTGACGGAAACACAACTGCAGTCGCGTGCCGACTCTACAACCTCGTGCCCCGCGGGTACGATCTTGCAACGCCATGTTATTTCCCATCATGCCTTGCGCGATCGTAACCCCTGGAGTTGTTGTAATTTAAATGTGCTGAAATCCGGTACATTATAATTAGGGCTGCCGTTTTACGTGCCGACGACATCTTTAAAATGTTAAAAGTTGTGATTCAAGAATCAATCCTTTCAAACACAACGTTTGGACGTTGTTTTAATTAGCAAATATTTGTATTAAATGTACGTACCCCTTTCTTGCCTTTACAACCACAGATGCAGGGTTTTTTTTTTGCGAAAAACGCGGCTGACAAAATCCATATCGTACAGTCATCGCGACTTTTGAATCATAATTGTGTGTTTTTTCTTACGTGACGATACGTGCAAAGCACGCGAGCGCATAATGGGTGCGCCCGGCGTGCAATCTTCATAATGCGCACGCAGTACGCTGTGAACAGCCATTCAGCGTCATTTACGTCATCATCACAGCCAGGGGTTAGTGTAAGGAACGAGCACGCGCTCCTGGAGTCGAGGCTGCCGACTCTAGTCTAGCACTCGCGCATTTTATGTTCTATACGCGCACAGGCCGTTAACACGCCTCTACCTGGGGTGCGTTTTGGCGGTCATAACCAAGAATTGGTTCGGTGGTTTCTCTTTGGTTAATTGTTTTGGGGATTTGAGTACTACATGATCACGCGTAATTCTAGCCCAATTAAAATTGCCGAAGAAATTCACTGACAAGAAACCACCGAACCAATTCTTGGTCATGACCGCCAAAACGCACCCCAGGCATTTAGGAGGTTGTTGATCCTTGTGTAGAAGATCCGTGTTTTCGCGTGTAAGTAGTTCATTGCATCGATCAGAGAACTAGGCTATCAGCTTCAGTCTCAAAAATTGGGCCACCGGTATCAAATGATCAAAAGGAGCAATGCTCATAGCGAAGTTTGGCAAGGTATGCACATCTATAGCGGTGGCATTTTGGGGGGATGTTATCATTTTTAAGTTGTTTTTTTTTAATGGCCGCCAATATGCTTATTACCGGATTAATCATATGTGGTAACAAACATATTTTGTCTGCCATTTTTTTTTAAGTGTTAATATTCGAAAAGTTATCATCCTGCAATGCTTTCACAAATTTTCCAACTACAGGGGTGCATCTTTGCATTATTCCCCTTATTTGATACTGACCAAACCCTCAGGCTGATGGCCCAAACAGTTTCAGTACGTTTTTAAGTTGAGGCTCTCTCCCGATGTTTGCTCAGTGATTTACGTGCGTAGTTGCCTTTTAATTCGCGTTGGTGTGTGAGTCGTTGATAAAGTCCTACAACCTAGCGGATTGATGCTCAGAATTCACCTGCGATTTAGACAAAATTTACAAGCTTAGCTATACCACACTATCAAGGGCTCATTGTGCATCCCTTTCATTTATTTAAACCAGAACATAAAACCCCAAATGGCAGTAGTGGGTCGCATGTGAATTTGTTAATCCTATCTTGCAAGTCATTTGTGCCATTTGACAAGAAAATAATTATGGTGGGGTGTTGTGATCACCCTTTATGATGAAAAAAAAAACTGAATATCGCATTTTAAATGTTTGGTTGCTACGTGTACAGGGTGTCCCAAAAAAATGTTCCACTCTCTTTTTTTCAAAAATTCAATAAAATCAAAATGCATCAATTTTCGTATCAAGCATGGTAAGAATGCTATGTGTCTTGGTTGTTATCTACCAACAAATCACATCATACTATCAATCCACTGGGGACAGTAATGCTGAAATATGGTTGTTATATCCTTTGGAACGGATTCGTATTTAAACAACTTGGGACGCAAATAGCACCACAACAACTCCAGCTCGGTTTGGCTTACAACTTCGTAACACACGTTTATTCAACATGGCTCCGCGCACAGCAACTCTTACACGAGTTGACCTTTGACACACTCTAATAGACTGGCTACCTGTCACATGCAGACACGACATCCCTCCCCTTCAAAAAGAAACTTTGGTTTTCTTGAATAATGGGTGACATGCAAAAGGTCAACTATAACAATTTCCACTGCCCAATAATCACAGCAACTAACAAACATCTTTAACTTTAAATCCAAACAGAACTATTAAACTTTAGGTGAATTTACAAACCCTGATATAATCAACAACATGCATCTGTCTGACCTTCATGGATTTGTATACACGCACAAGTCAAGCTACTACTGGTAGCGCAGGTTTGAAATTTACTATCAACAAATTGAGGACGTTTTCTTTTGCTGAGCATCATGACCAAAATCAAAACTCTGGTGGACAGATTTGGATATGAGATGAAACTGCGTTTTGTTTTGTTTTAGAGAACACTCCTATAAACTTTTCTCATTCAAAACACAAGCATGCTAAATACATGTTTTATGATGAACAAAACTTATATAAAGTAACTTTAGTTCAGTCCACTCTAGTTCAAGATATAGTCCTTAAACTTAGGATACATGCCACACTGTCTCTTGGGTCTGCCCGCACATGGACTGGGCAGCTCCTTTGCAACCGGTGGGGTCACAGCGGGTGGAGTATGAGTTACAGTCTTTGGGGGACTGATTGCCTGGTCCATGGTGTTCCCACCGCTGTCTGCTGTGGGAGGTTCACTGGCAGTCTTTATGCCTGTGTCACTTGCACTCTGCGTGAACTTCCGAACATGGCTGGTGTTTCGTGAGTACTGGGCTCCCTCCGGGGATGCAACAACCACACTGTTGCCGGTTTTACTCACAACAGTGAATGGGTCGGGAATGAAAGGAGTAGAAAGTTTGTTGGTCTTCTCCTGCCTCACGAGGACTTGGTCGCCAATCTGCACATCAGAGTATTTTGTATTTCGGCGTGTATCCGCGTACATTTTGGCTTTTGCTTTGCTTTCAGCATCATGGTCACGAACCTCCAAATCAGTGTGATCGTCTGGCTTGAATGCTGGTAGTTTGCCGCGGATTTTCCGGTTAAACAGTAGTTCAGCAGGAGTTTTCCTAGTGGCGGGGTGTTCGGTTGCGCGGTATTTCGCGACGTATTTGCGCAGTTCTTTTCTCCAATCCTGACCTGCAGCTTGCGTAATGCGGATTCGTTTCATGATCGAGTCATTCTGTCGCTCCACCTCACCGTTTGCTTGAGCCCACTTGGCTGTTACTCTCACATGGGATATTCCGTTCTCCTCACAAAAGTCACGAAACTCTTGCGAGCGGAATTGCGGACCGTTATCCGACTTAAGGGTCAATGGTATGCCGTGGCGGCTAAATGCCTCTTCGAGGGAGTCAACGATTTTGTCTGTGGTGGTGGAGCTCAATATCTGGTATTCATAGTACCGGCTATAGTAATCTACCAACACTAGTATAGAATGTCCCGATGGAAGTGGCCCAAGAAGGTCGGTTGCCAGATCTTGTCACGGACCATCCGGGAGTGGGGTTGACCTAAGTGGTTCAGAGGGGTTAGGTCGCGATACAATTTGGCATCCGTGACACGACTTGCAGAATTTTTCCGCTGCTTTGTCCATTGCCGGCCACCAGACTTTCGTGCGGAGATTTTGTTTGGTGCCGACAATGCCGAGATGCCCTTCGTGAGCAAGAGCGAGTGCCTGTTGCCTCAATTTCTGTGGTAGGACAATGCGTGTTCCCCGCAGAACAAGCTGTCCCATGATACACAGCTCTCCTACGACCGGAGCGTATGCCTTACAGTTTTAGAACTTTCCAGTGCAAATTGCTTCTCTGACGTTTGCAAGTTCACCGTCTTCGGCAGACGCGTTTTCGACTTGCTTCGTGGTCGTGGCACGCGGCGTCGTAGATACAGCTACGAAACGAACATATTCATCCGCGCCATGGGCATGTTCCGGTTTGCACTTGCCACTTAAGAGGCGTGACAGGGCATCAGCGATATTCTCGCGTCCGGGGACGTATACAACTTTGTAGTTGTACAGTTGTAAGCGTAGTACCCAGCGTTCTATCCGTGCACATGGTTTGGAACGGGGTCCATATATGGCCTCGAGTGGCTTGTGGTCAGTTAGAAGCTCAAAGTCGCGTCCATAGATATAGGCATGGAATCTTTCGCAGGCCCAAACCAACGACAGCGCTTCCTTTTCTGTTTGCGAATATCTTCTTTCGCAATCGGTCAGGCTGCGGCTCACATAGCAGATTGGAACCAAACCGTCACGCTGTTCCTGAACTAATACTGCACCCAGGCCGACTGGGCTCGCGTCACCTATCACCTTTGTCGGTGCCGTTTTATCATAGTACGCGAGTGTGGTTGCCTTCGCAAGGCTCTCCTTAAGCGCGTTGAAGGCTGCTTTCTGGTGTGGCCCAAATTGAAATGGAACGCCTTTTCGGGTCAGCTTGCGAAGCGGGTCGGACAGAGTAGCAAAGTTGGGTATGAAACTACTACTGAACCCAACTAGGCCGAGAAAACTCCGAACCTCTGATACGTTCTCGGGCTCTCTGAATTCGGATACGGCTCGAACGCGTTCTTGCGTGGGACCAATGCCCTTCTCGGACAACAGGATCCCCATGAATACTAGCCGGCTCATGTTGAACTGGCACTTCTCAGCATTCAGGGTAAGACCTAGCTCCTGCAATCTGCGCAATACTGCCAACACTCTGCTGTAATGGGTATTTTGGTCAGGGCCATGTACGATTATGTCGTCCGAGATATTTTCTACGCCTTCAAGACCTGCTAGCGCTTTTGCGATCATGTACTGGTACTGTTCGCTCGCGGAACTTACTCCGAACATAAGTCGTTTGTACTGATATAGACCGCAGTGCGTGACAAACGTCGTGATCCCTCGCGACTCCGTGGCGAGTTCCAACTGGTGGTAACCCCATTTGAGATCGAGTTTACTGAAAACCTTTGAGCCGTTCATGCTTTGCAAAAGTTCATCCACAGTAGGGATTGGATGACGGCCGCGTATGATCGCTTCATTCGCGCGTCTCATATCTAGACAAAGTCTAATATCGCAGTTCGGTTTCGGTACCACGACGACAGGGTTGACCCAAGGTGTTGGGCCATCAACGGCTTCGATTATGTCAAGGCACTCTAGTTCGCGTATTTTTTGTTCTACTCTACTGCGCAAATTGAATGGTGTTCGCCTAAGGGGCTGCGCTACTGGCGTAACTGAGGTGTTGATGTGGAGCTTAACTTGCTCAGTTTTCAGCTTACCCACGCCTCCGAACACCCCAGGAAACTGCTGCTGGTACTGCTTGGCCTTGTCACCGTTCAAAGCTGAGCTGTTCTTAGCGCACCTGTCAACTTTGACCTCATCTATAGTCCCGGCGTGGCCGCTTACAGCATTGATTCCGATTTGGAGTATGCCCAGTTTCATTGCTATGTCTTTGCCAAGTAACGGTACTCCCTTTCCTTTGATTACGATGAATTCGGCTAGGGTAGATCTGCCTGATACCTGCACTTCGCACTCGAATGTACCCTTGAGTGACAGGGGACGGTCTGCTCCATACGCCCACAGCTTTCTGTCTGGTGGGGCTACATGGGATTCACACTGAATTTTGTTCTGTTTGAGTGAGTCCCAAGTCTGCTCGTTGATGATATTGCTTGTGGCTCCTGAGTCAATCAGCATGTTAAGGTCGACTCCGCCCACCTTGATCCTCAACATGTTCGAATGTGGTCCCTCTCGGATGAGGAAGGCGTAATCTTGTGAAGCCTCGGGGTTGGCCTGTTCCTCACCCACTTGGTTGACTCTGGGCTTGGTTTTTGTTTTGCACATCTTTGCGAAGTGGTCCCTGCCAGAACACTTTTGGCATGTCTGACCCCTCGCGGGACAGTTCGAGTCACGGCCGAAATGTCCGGTTCGACCACATCTGTAGCAAGCACCTTTAGGGGTCGGTTCAGGTTTTGTACGCCGATTTCCCGTTTGTGATTGTGGCGACCATAAGTGTTTGGTTTCCGTTTTGGGCTTATACTGCTTGTCACGGGATTTCTGTTTCTTGTCTGACACACGGTTGACAGAGTCATATTTAGGGTCTTTGCTTTTGCCAGACAGTGCAGCCATTTGTCCTTCCACCTTTTCACATTTATCAGCTGTTTGCAGTGCCTTATCTAGTGTCAGTTCAGTTTCCAACAGTTTGCGTCTAACATAATCGGATTTGCACTTACTCAACACAGCATCCCTGATCTGATTGTCCTTTTCCCCTCCAAAATCGCAATCCCTGGCCGCCCTCCGAAGTCTGGTTACAAATTGTAGCACAGTTTCTCCTTCCTTCTGTGACAACTGATGAAATGTTTGCCGTGAGAATGCCGCGTTCTTCCGGGGAACGAAGTAGGCATTCAGCGCTTTTTTTGCAGCATCGTAGTCGGCAGGGTCACCCGTGTTCGGCAGGGTTTGAAACATTTCCTGAACGTCTGGGCCCGCAAGGTGGAGCAGCAACGCCCGTCGTCTTTGCTTTACCTCGGGTGCGGTGGCAGATCCAACGATGTGGCCCTTACCGTCCGCGTACAGTTCGAACGAAGTGAGCCACCTTTCCCAACGCGGCCCGAGGGTTGCCGGTGTCACGGTCTCACTTCTCCGGCGTGCTAGCTTCTCCAAAAGGGAAATTTCGCTTTAACACGCATGCACAAAATTGCGCAGTAGTGTACATTTTCGTCACTGTATTAGTGTGCTGAGTTTTTTGGGCTGTACTTGTGTACGTAAGATATTTGTATGCATAGAATTTTCGTGGCGCCCACTATTAACTCCCAATATTAAAGACTTTGAAATGCACATTTATTTTAAGCCGTGGTTGCAAATATAAGGACAAAATGGACCACGAACGAGCAAGGAACACGGACCAAGAAGTTCGTTCTTTACATTCCTCCATCAACACACACATGCATGACGCTGGGAACACAAATCAGAATGCTTGCAAGAGCATGGAGGGACCATGGAATGACTTGACCCACAGGAAGTGTTACATAACACATTCTTGGGTGTCCCTCACTGTGTTATTAATGGGCTTGGTAGACTTCAGAAAACAGCCCGAGGAAAAGTAAGCACAGCGGATACATGAGCATGAATCGTGCTCATGTAACGTGCACTGTAACGTGCTCAATTATCCGCCGAATCAACCCGGAGAAGCTAGCACGCCGGAGAAGTGAGACCGTGACACCGGCTCCGAAAAGCAGTCGAAGGTGGGAATTACGGTTTTCTCCATTGTTTACCCTCGTCGCCAATGTTATATCCTTTGGAACGGATTCGTATTTAAACAACTTGGGACGCAAATAGCACCACAACAACTCCAGCTCGGTTTGGCTTACAACTTCGTAACACACGTTTATTCAACATGGCTCCGCGCACAGCAACTCTTACACGAGTTGACCTTTGACACACTCTAATAGACTGGCTACCTGTCACATGCAGACACGACAATGATCTCGCCTCCATTTGCCAACAGCGCTGGGGACTCAAATCACCAATTTTAAAATGTCGATTTATGTCAAGTGTGCTTTTCAAAAATTCTACTTGGTATCTATTATGAAAGACCAGTCATCAGTTGTTGTCAAGCAAACAAGAGGAAACCAACCAACCATGGCATTGTTCATTTATTGGACTTTGACTAAAAATATCTATTTTTAAATCAACCACAGGTAATAGTTGTTTACCTGTGGCTGGGTGCTACAATTCAGTGTGGAGTTCCCTCCAATCAGGTGACAAAAGGTTCTGGTCTGAAAAGAACCAGTCAAGCAAATCGGCACTGCCCACACATAGGTAAACAACCCGCGACATAAATATTCATGAAGCCCGCAAATTAACGTAAAACACGTATGGTCACTCAAAAATAAATGTCCAGGTATATCAAATCCATTTTCAACCATTTCTCCATTATTATTCCAAAACAAATGAAATATGCAGCTATATGAATGAACACTTTATCAAAATGATGATACTATTTCCAATGTATTGCGAATTGGACAGTTCAAGTCGTATATACTGCCGACGTTTATTGTCGGTGCAACAGCGTACACATTTTACCGAATCGTACACATTTTATCGAATGCAGGTTAACTGGTATCCATTCATGTTGCAACCGTATGACTTAACTGCAAGAAACGAGCTATTGACTTCGGGATGGAAATATACGAAACTGTCATATAGGGACTTGGTGAATAAAATCGCTCCCTGAATTCGTACCATGTGCAACATATATCTCATACATACGACACATGCATTTTAACGCGTACGTACGAATTGTATGTTACCTATGACATACGTACGACACGTAAGTCGTAGGTATAACATATAAATCGTACCTATATGTCGTATGACATACAAGTCATACATACAAGTTACAATACATAAGTCGTACATACGAGTACAAGTCGTACTCACTCAAGATATGTCGTATGTACGACATATTCGACAAACAAGTCGAACGTACGAGTAAAAATTCATATGTTGTACACACGAGATATTAAGTCGTACTTATGTACGACAAAGTCGTATGCGACATATCGTACCCTGTCGACTCGACATATATAAGATCGTACGCACGACATATATGTCATACCGGCACCTGTCGACATTATGTCATATGTTTGATATGTCATACCCTGTCGACATATTATGTCGTACCCTGTCGGTATATTAGTCGTACCCTGTCAACATATATATGTCGTACCCTGTAGATATATTAGTCGTACTGTTCTTATTCCTCCATGATACGACATATAACTTATAAGTCGTTCATACACGTTGAAATCAGTCTTAAGTTAGCTGAAGGGAAGAAATAATTTTTTCCCATATCCCCTAGACAGCCTAGTCGAAATACCCCCCCCCCCAAAAAAAAAAAGTCAGCGCTGACCGAGAAAGCGCAGTGCGTCTTATTCCGCACGTCTTATACCCCCTGTCGGTGCCTACAATTGACGGCCCCGAAGTGGTCTCTGTGCACGGTGACATCGTTTTTGCCGGCGTCCGGTTTGTAGGCCGTTCGCCGTTTTGTGAAAAGTCTAATTTTTGATCCCGTTCATTTCATTTTCGACCAAAACTATGTATAACTATATACAAATTATAAGATGGAATTTTGCGTCGGGGTGATTTAAATCAAATTAGGTTTTGCCCTTCAACGACGTTTAAACACTGTATACTCAGTGTGTTACTTTCACTGGGGAGGTAACACACTGAGTATACAGTGTTTAAACGTCGTTGAAGGGCAAAACCTAATTTGATATATACAAATTATTATACTTTTATTTAAGATTTCAGGGGGATGTTTAACAATGATAATTGTTACCACAGGAAAGTCTGGTTTATAAACTTTTGGTTGCATTATGTAATTTAATAAGTATTCATTTTTTTTGGCAGCCATTATCCAGTCAGAGAAGACTATTTACCATAGCGCGTACTACTTATCTTATCATTTCAACACCATTCCACACAATGAACAATCAAATCATCCTCATCTTGGTATTTGTGCTTGCAGCAGCAACCGGGTACGACGACCCAATGTTTTAATTACATTTTTCAATAATTCGAACCTTTAAAGACTTGATAATATTTACAGAACTATCATCTATTATCTGGGGGTAAGAGCCTTTCATTATAGACACATTTAAGTAATCAATTAATTATACAGAATTATACCCGAGACAACACTCGTTTTTGCAATTGTTATGAATATTTCTAAATATTCGTACCCCATTTGATATTATGTTTAGTCTCATTGCTGTACGACAGTGTTTTAATTACGGTCATTCAATAATTTGAACCTTAAAGACGTCTTGATGGAGACAAAATTTACAGAACTAGGGTCTATCATTTAGGCGTAAGAGCCTTCCATTTAGCATATTTGCGTAATCAATAATAAAATTAACCTTGAGACTTCCCTCCTCTTTACAATTGTTATGGTTATTTCTGAAAATTCGTACCAGAGGATAAATCACGCATACTGTGGTCCAAGTCTATTCAGACTTGTTTGCGTTCTGAACGCATTAGATCGCTAGTAAAATTCTAGCATCTCATCTAGTAGATCTCTTCTTAATGAATCTTACTGTCAACCTGCAAATCTCGTTTTATACCTCCGTCAGAAACTACTCCGACCATACCTTGATTGCCACTTGTGGATTTCATTTGAACCTTTAAGCTTTACAGAACTATCCTTTAGGCTTCAGAGCCTTTAGCCTTTAACTATAACTAACTATTACATTATGGCTGTTTCTGGATTTGTACCCCATTTAACATTGCTGTGTTGACTGCCAGATACGAAAAACCAAAACCATATTTGGAAAATGGAAACGTACACCTGAACTATGCAAGACAACTCCTTCAGGCAAGGGTAGCAATGATCGTCTCTTATAAATACTGTTTGAGACATCGAACAACTATGAAATTACAACCAGACTTGACAACTGTGTTAAAATTGTGTGTTGTCGTTGCTGCTCGCAAGCGTGAAGTGATCTACCTTCAATCCAACCACGCACACATTCCTGTGCCACGCCCTATTCACATTACCCGCCCTTAACTACTCTACCGTGTCTCAGTTTACTTATCAATGATAAAGCAGATTTATTCTAATTCGTCCCGGCACTCAACCGAATATCAATATTTATCATTTCAACACCATTCTACACAATAAACAATCAAATCATCCTGATTTTGGTATTTGTGCTTGCAGCAGCAACCGGTATGAACTATAAAGAACGGGTCTGTAATGCCGAATCCCCAAAAGGATTTAGATATTTAACATCATATTGCAATCACTCGGATATATTAATGTATCCTTCGCTGTCTCTGAAATAGCGTCCATGACGCTTGAACAGCCTGTTGGATATCTGCTTTGATAGCCGCTAAGACTCCAACAGCAGCATGGGGCTGTTCTGGGAAAACTAACCTTCCCTCTAAAACTCTCGAGTACTTCATCAGTTTATACCTCTATGAAATCACTTTATACTCTTCTTTAACAATTGTTTAAGTTTCTGAACACAAAAGAAGGTCTTTATCTGAAGGGAAGACTTTGACTCACTTGACATACAATTCTATCATTGCAACTGTACATGTTGACAATAATTACCTCGCAATAATAACTGAATTCACATGGCCGAGTGCATGAGATAACACGTAAATACTTCAATTAAAGTGCGGCTAACTCACTGAGCCGATAAGACCCGGTATATGAAATAAGGGCCTTGACCAGGATTCTTATATGAAATAAGATGTGTACTGAACGGTCTTTACCCTATTTTGGCACCATCTCAGAAAGAATATCTGGTGTAATTGGATCTTTCTTTGGCTTAACCAGTGTTCTTGTCAGACCTTTAGCGTGGTGTATAACACCAGAGGGTCTTTGGTTGCATCATGGTCCCCAACTAGCCATGAGATGAACCCATGACATGGCAGCTAGAGAGTTTGTGACTGTAGGT